AGCAAGGAAGTTTTCAGAGATGTCCAACGGGGTGGAGGATCCAGGGAGAGCTTCTCAGAGCAGGGCAAAGGGAAGAGTTCCCCACCCCACCCCGTTCCCCTAGCTGTAAAGTCTGTTTCGCCTGGTTAGGTTGACAGTGATGGTAGCCACATACGTGGGGCCAAGACTGGAGCTCACCCCTCCCCCTCGCCGCTCGCTCTTGATCTCGGGCGGCACTTGGCCTTCCAAAGAGTCAAGCTGGACATTTCCCCCCCTCTTCGCTGCTAGCACACTAATGTGGGGAACTGAAGCTTTAAAGTCTCCTCCACGTTTTAACATCGGTTATTATCCAGAAACGACTGCTTCTCTCTACGTGTATGTAGCACCAGCCATAGAGCTGAGGCATTCTTTATGATTCTGTTCATGTGCATACATGTTCATGTATGTACATGTGGAGGGGGATGCTTGTGGATGTGAAGGCCATAAGTCGACCTTGGGTGTCTTCGTTTTCCCAATTTTAAAGTCTGTTTATGTGTGTTTGACACCTGTGTGTGTGTGGGGGGGGTGTAACAGGTCATTCTGAGGCTTCCTGGCACCGGTTCTGGGAAGGGCCCAATTTTCTAGAAGAGCAGCACTTTAACCTCAACACCATCTCTACAGCTCCCCATCTCTACAGCTCCCTTCCACCTTTTATTTTCCCCACAGCTCCCCAGTTCAGGCCAAAGAGCTCCAGGGCTCCTCATGTCACTGCCTCCCTCCGCAGCACGAGGCTCACATATAAACAGCATCACACCCAGCTTCTATGCAGGTACTGGGAAGCTGAGCTTAGGCCCTCATGCTTGTGCGGAAAGCACTTTCGTGACTGAATTATCACCTTGGCCCCTCATTATTCTTTACAGGTCTCCCTAAAATATGCAGAAATCACTTACAAGTTTGTATTATCATTATTATTATTATTATCTTTAATTCCACAAACACATACTGCTTGCCGACTGGTTGTGTTTTGTTTAGAGTGGTTTGGGTTTGGGTTTGGTTTAGTTGTTTTTGTTTTCGCTGTGCCTTGCACATGCTAAACATGCATTTCTCTGCTGAATACTCCAGCTCTTGGGACTCACACCCATGCATCTTTCACATGTTAAACATGCATTTCTCTACTGAATACTCTAGCTCTTGGGACTCACACCCATGCATCTTGCACATGCTAAACATGCATTTCTCTACTGAATACTCCAGCTCTTGGGACTCACACCCATGCATCTTGGTTTGGCGAGATGATGACTACACCTAGTGCTCTCCTTTGCGGAACTAAACTACTGACCCACAGGAAGCTGCAAATCTGAATTTGCTCACTTTAGATGGGTGTAGATGCTCCCTCGGTCCAACCTGCTGACCTGTCTGGACACGATCCCAGGAGGTATTGCCTCTCTGCCATTTACCCAAGGGACTCCATGTCCCCCGCTTTCCCCACTGGTAATTTTACCCCTCCATAGTTGATTATTGCAAATGAAAGAGGAGCAAAGTGTGGCCAAGTGGGAGAAGGTCCCCTGGATTCAAAGCTAACTAAAAGGCAAAGCTGACCCTCAGACCTGCCAAGCCCAGCCCAGAAAAGAGGTAGTTTCAGAGAAACAGCCAAGGTGATAACTAAAATCTACTTTTGATTTAAAATTGAAAGTCAAAATCATTCAGATAGTGTGATGCACACCCATAATCCCGACACTCAGGAGGCTGGGGCGCGAGGACTGCGGGTTCAAGGCCAGCCTTCATAGCCAGACCCTGTCTCAAAAAACAAAACAAACAAACAAAAGAAGAAGAAGTAAAGGCAAAGTGACTAGAACGACTGCCATCCTATTGATTGACAGGGCTGATTGTTGATCTGGCTGGCTAGTGGTGTCCTCTCCTCCCTCACTGCATTGATTGACAGGGCTAACCTTGATCTGGCTGGCTACTGGTGTCCCCTTCCTCCCACACTGCACTGTGCATCTCCCTCCCAGTGCTACACACTCAACCTCCCTCAAATAGAGAAAGATCACGTTGGCCATGTCCCTGCATTCCCCTGCTAGAAGTGCCAAGCAAGCTCTCAAAAAAGAGAGTAGAACATCTTCTTGGCATAACACACACTTACAGAGTCTGACCCCATAAAAGGATGGCTACGAAAGGAAAATGTACAATGGTAAGGGTCTGAAAGTGATGACTCTGTCCTCCTGAAATGGTCAAAATTGATACCAGTTAGACTAATTTCATTCAAATAGAAAGAAACCCAGTAATTTTGTTAATTTAACTACATAAATATTTTACAGCTCTCTCTCTCTCTCCAAATACCCAAGGCTTTTCCAGCCAACCTGTCTCCCTCTGGGCGACAAGGCTTGAGTTTTGCTTCTATCTCAGAGAAAGGTAAATCTGGGGATAGAGGGAGCCACTTGCTAGCGCTGTCTCTCCGCCCCCATTTCCCCATTTCTATGACTCATCTACACCAGCCCCCACTCTGGCATAAGATCCCACCCCACTCACCTGCTCAAGCACATAGGACCTGCAACTCTTCCATTGTTTCTTCGCCAGCCTCAAAAGTTGGTTTGTGCCAGGCAGTGGTGGTGCACACCTTTAACCCCAGCACTTGGGCGGCAGAGGCAGGAGGATCTCTGTGAGTTTGAGACCAGTCTGGTCTACAGAGCTAGTTCCAGGACAGCTAGGGCTGTTAGAGAAACCCTGTCTCAAAACATCCCCCCCCCAAAAAAAAAATGTTGGTTTGCTATTTGCCCACCTCCTTTCTCACTTTGAAAACTAACGCCTTCTCTTGGCCCTATGCCACACACAGCCCACGTATCAGCTACCACCCACTTCTCTCCTAGGAACAAACACCCTGACGTTTCCTGTGTTTAAAGTCTGCAGTTCCTGTCTTCACACCTCCTTTCTGTCTTTGCTCTCATATCAACCCGCCTAGACAGGAGACAGGCCTAACCTTCAGTCACATGGATCACTGCTCTACTGAAGACCTTTCAAGTTCTAGACTCTGGAGTCTTGCCGCCAGCCCCTAGGACAGCTGGCCTCCCTTTGACCTCCTGGCCCATCATGCTCACTCCCTTCTCTCCAGCTTTGCTAACCCTTCGTCACTCATATGACAGAGCAGCTAGGCCACCCCTGGAGGCCTCTGCGCCAGTCCCCCCAAACACCCACCTGAAGGGCTTCTGCTTCTGCAAGTCTTGGTCTTTGATCTCTTATCACAATGCCACCCCATCCCTGGGCACCCCGTTTATCAGCCCCCGTGCCCTGCCCCATGCTCCCACAGTATTTCAGATCTTTCTATACATCACGGAACATTACTGATTTTGTACATTTAGCATCTGGTGTTGCTAGGAAACTAATTCAACAAGGAGCCCATCTACTTTATCTACAGACACGCTGTAAGCAAAATGACACATAGAACATGGTAGATGTTTGTTTACTGTGTGAAGCAGAGAATGCACAGATTAACCAGCCAGCTGGCTAAATGAAAATCTCCAGGAGAGTGTGTTCAGAAAGCATCATTAATCGTGGTGTAACATTTATTTTTAAAACTACCTTGTACTAAAACAAGGGCTCACAAGTCCCCTTAGGTTCCAAGGATCATTCGGGCTAATGTGGTGTCCCGTGTCCACCAAGCTGTCGTATGCTCTTCATAGCTCATCTGAAGAATCACTGGACGAGGAGAAATAGAGTCACACTTCAGCAAGTCAAGCGAAAGGGGTCTGATGTGGAGCCTGAATACTCCATCCCCGGACACACTACCTCCCTACTACCCTACTTTTAAAGTGACTGGCCACCTGTGAAGACAAATTTCACCTTTTCCTATTGTATTTTCCCACTCTGACTGAAGTCTGTCGCTATCTTGGAAAAGCAGAGCTAGCCATTCAATAGCATGGAGCTGAATGACGAGAAGGGCGGGTTCTGCTGAGGCGTGAGGGGATGAAGCAGTAGCTGCTAGCTTGGAAGCATTTTTCTCTGAACCATGTGCCAACCCTTGCCCCTCTCACCAAAACAATGGCCTGACACTGAAGTCAGGCAATGAGTAGGACTTCCAAAACACAGAGGTTCACTCTTTCAAAACTTTGGAGCCACAGAGAGATGTATTTTCAAACTGTAACATACCCTGTGTGCTAAGCAAAACAATGTCCCCAACCCTAAAGACATTACTGATGTCTACACTCCAATATCTGTGCGTTATGTGTTGTCTGATACAGCCAAAGGAATTCTGTAGATGTGATCAAATTAAAGGTTTTTGTTCGTTGGCACAGGGTCTCTTGGAATCCAGGCTGGACTCTGTCCATACTGCTGAGTGCTCGGACTCCCGATCCTCTCATTTCCAGTACCCAGCTGTTGAGGTCACAGGAGCGTACTGAGGTTAAGGACTTAGAGGTGGGAGTGGTCTAAATTAGCACAGTAAGGTAATGCCACCCGCAGAGTTCCTGTAAGAGGAAGCAAGTGATCCGCTCAACAGACACGTGAGCATGCCTGTTATCAAAGCTCTCAGGACCCTGCCAACTTTAAAATTTAAAAAAAAAAAAAAATGAGATAATTCTCAAAACCACAGGAACAAATTCTTCCTGTCCCAGGGTTTTAGCCTCATGGGACAAATGAGTGGGTGTGTTGCTTTAAACCACGTTTGTGACAATGTGCTCTAGTAGTAGCAGGGAACTTAGGCACAATAGAAGCATAGTGTCAGGCCAGACTCCTGATATAACACATTCACTCTGCTCCTGCCACTAGAGGGCCAGGACCAGCGTCTCTGTGTGTGACTGGATAACCAACAGGGAAAGTCCAGACCTTAGCTTCCTGGACCGCCACCATCCCAACCCTCCATCAAGGTGCTGACATCTGTGGGGGATGGGGACCAAGGCTGCCTGGTCACATCAATAAGCCCCTGTCAATCAAGCATGGTCTCGAGTTCCCCATTCACCCCTGACGTCACCAGTTTATTCGGCATTTTTTTTTTTCAAATGAAAAATAAACAAGAGTCATAAAGGGACCTGAGTTTGTGAGAATAGCTTTTAATTTAAAACTATCAAAGCAATAAATTATCCATCTCTTCCCATCACAGGCGAGTACTCTCCCAAACACTTGAAGTAATTTCCACACCAACCGTGACTAGTGCAAAATAAATAAATACCAAGTCTTCCGGCAACCAGCAAAGATGCTGGGCAGGCGGGCACGGGTCGGGCTCAGCCTCTGCCCAAGCTGAGGAGCACTGAGCTCCCTGAAGCCTTCCCACTTGCCCAGCTGTGAACAGACCGCACGACACCCAGGGAGGGGAATAGAAGAGAATGTTGCCTGAGGAGAAGGCAGTATGCTCAAACCCCTGCTATAGCTCACATCCACAGCACCCTGAGGATGCTGGGAAAGCAGGCACTAATCCACAGGGCAGCTCCAAAGCAAGGGTGAAGAAAGGCCATTGCGGATACACTACTCTTGTCGCTAAACTGGGGAGATGTATTTTTTTAAAAAAGCAGAAAAGGCTTTTATTTCTGGGGCTTGTTTGGGACTTGTGTGTTCCCAATATGTTGCTTCCATTTGGAGCCTCTGTAAAATTCTCCTCTTGCACGTGGGATTTCACTGCCCACCTCACAGTGTGGAGCACTAATGGAAGGGCCATTAGCCACGGAACCAAATGTCTCATGAGCCACACTAGGAACAGATGGCCATGGAGTGGAACTAATTTAAATATTAAATTACTGTTACATTTAACCCATGTATCCCCCATCATTTGCAATCGATATGAGATAGTCATACTGTTTATTCAATCCTTCAAATGTTAGTATGCATTTTATATACGCAGGACAATCTGAGTATAGACTGGCCAAATCCCACCACCCTTTAGGGCTACAAAATCTTCCACAAACTCTAAGAACGATTTATTGAGTAGATGTGCTGATTAAGTTTTCTTTGTTTTTGTTAATTTGACCCAAGCTCTGGTCATCTGGTAAGAGGGAACCTGAACTGAGAAAATGCTTCCAATAAGATTAACTTGTGGGCAGGCCTATGGGATATTTCCCCCCATTAGTGCTTGCTGTGGAAGGGCCCAGCCCACTGTGGGTGGCGCCTCCCCTAGGTTGTGTAAGAAAGCAGGCTGAGCAAGCCACTGGGAACAAGCCAGTGAGCCGCAGCCCTCCATGGTCTCTGTCTCAGTACTTATCTTCAGGTTGTTGCCTTGAGTTTCTACCCTGGCTGCCCTTCATGGCGGCTGTAAGTTACAGTGCAGTAAGTCCTGTCCTCCCCACGGTGCTTTTGGTCATGGTCTTTATTACACCAATGAAAAGCAATCGTGGACAAGAGAAAACCCTGGTGGCATCAGGTAGGCGGTCTTACCCACTAACTTAACAATACGGACCTTGTCCTGCCACCTGGGAGTTTTTACCTAACAGGCAGAAGCACACGTCTCTAACCCACCCTCTGTTCTGCCCAAGTCTCCTGGCAGCTCTTCACGGGATCTAAGGACCCAGGGTGAGACTCAGCAGCTGTGGTGTCTGCGATGACAAAGACAGACTTTCCAGGACAGATATCTTTGTCAGCACTGATGTGGGCACCGAGGCAACCTTCAGGGGAACTGAAATTTTAAAATAATTTCCACATTAGACTCACTCTGAGACTTTTCCAAGCAGGTGCCATAAACGAACTGCTTCTTTTGCTTTGGAGTGGGACAGTCACAAGGGGCACAAGACTGAGAAGTTGTGGGGAAATGGGATTACCAAGGGAAACAGAGCAGGAGCAGAAATGAGGTGTTAACTCACGATGACGGCTCCTACAAACGAATAACGGCAGACTCAGACACCCGAGCTTCCGGTTGCCACAGCTCAAGTCTGATTTGGGTTGTAATCACAGAAAAGTGAAAGTAAACCATGGCTGTAGGACATGTACTACCAGGGACTTCCAGATTGTCTGGTCTAACCTCCTGGTCCGCAGACAAAGGCCCATAGAGGTAGAATGGCTCCAGCAGATCACACTGAGAGGCAACGCCAGGATGTAAGCCTAATTATGAGTCTGCAGCTCAGGTAATGGGAGCCCAGAGGGACGCAGGGGAGAGAGCAGGCACATTCTCTTGTAGGACTGGGACAACAGGCCAGGCAATTCCAACATACTGAAGCAACGTTGATATAAAATGTCATTAAAATATGATTCTTCCCAGCTTCTTTTCATTTAGAAGAAAAAGAAAATTCCATCTGTACCAAACTGGATTTCTGATTAGTTATTTGGGTATTTAGACCAAGCGACAAAACAGAAACTTTGACCCATTTTTCCAAAGACATCTTTGGAGTCTACACAAATGGATATCAAAAGATATTTACAGAAAGAAAGTTCTGTCCTTCACACAGACGCCTACACGCAGAGAGAGAGCCACACGATCACCCTGCCACATCTCACCCGGAAGACTCCTGGCAGGGGGGTCAGCAGACAGAGCCCACACACTGTTCCAGATGTAGCCACACACATGTCCTGTCTACACACATGTGTAAAGTAAGTGGTACATCCCACTGCTATCCAAAGAAGGTTGGCATACCAGGAGACACATGCAAGCACATTGCTAACAAAAAGCCACTGCTCACGCCAGTGCGCCCAGCTCCCAATATGAAGAAAAAACGCATACGTAAAACCTTGCCATAAAATAGCCCTTGTGTTTGTGAGGCAGGGGGAGAGGCAGCCAGGATACACTTTTTTGAAGTATGCCTCGGCATCAGAAGGGGTTCATTTGCTTAATCTACCTAATGAAATTAAGTAGTTTATAGCCTAAAATCTTTAATGTGGATTTTATACCATTGATGTTGCAAAGTTTTTATAAAATTTTTATTTTTGTTCAAAATATACATGCTATCTGTGACCACATTTGAATTCAAACCTCCAGAGAGCTTCCTACCCCGACAAAAGGCCTTGCTTTGTAACAATGCAAACCAGCCCCTCATGAGGCTGTTCAGGGCCATTATTCTATGACGTGTGGCCCTACAGGGAGGCTGCTTAGTGTGGAAATTCCCATGGGGTGAATGGGGGGACAGAAAGGGACATACATAACAGAGACTTAGGGTCTTGGAATCAAACGTAGAAGGGGCCTCAGGAGGACAGTGTTGTGGAGAATTACTGCATCGTGTGCTCCCTCCTTCTGCCACGTCATTTGATCCCAGATGGAAACCGCATCAGCTAAGTCCAGAAGGCAGGCTGTGAGCTCTCCCGGAGCCTACCATGTTCTGCCTTCTGCTCTCTGGGAAGGTTCCTGATCAAAGCCTGCTAGAAAGAGGAGTATGTTGCCTCACCACCGTGCAGATGAGGAGAATGAGGCACACATAAAAGGGAGGATTTGCCAAGGCCCATAGCCAGTTGAGGCAGTACCCAGGATTCCAGGCCTCTGGCCCCAGCTTCACATCCCAGGCTTACAGTACACATGACCTTCCTTGAGACAGGGCCCCGGCTTACCAGAACCCTGGCTGTTCAAACTCATCACACGTTAACCCTGTGCCTCTGCTGTACTCAGCCCAGTCGGTTCTACTTCTTTTCTGCAGTTTCTAGAAAGATCAAACAAGTCCATATGAAACAGGCAGAGAAAAGTCGTTTGTCCCTTGATCGACTAGTCTGAACTAGAAACTCCAGAGACCAGGATTCGGTGAAAAGCAGAAAGCAAATGACCACGAGCTCAGTCCTCTCCAGGGCACACCCAGAGCTCCGCTCTGCTCTCGGGCTGCAGCTAAGACCTGGAAATGACCGGGTTGAAAGGACAGCTGTCCAGATGTTACAAGAGCGTCTCTGCAGCTCACATCTTTAAAGTGCCCATGGTCACACTGTGGGTCACAGCAGATAGGCAGCAAGGGCAGAGACTGGCCCCAGAGGAAAAGAGAAGGGAAAATATAAGAAAGTTCAGAGACCAGAAAAGCAGACAAACCAAGGGCATTTGACACGACCCAGGAGTAAGCTTAAGGGACCAGTTAGCTCACTACAGATGAACTCAGAACTTTGAGGGAGCACACTGCTGAGGAAGAGAAGCCGTCTGCCTTTGACAGAGCTCAACAGAACAAGACGTGGACACCTGACATGGATGTCAAGAGGCACAGACACACATGGATGCCAGACAGCACTGAGAGGCCACAACACAGCCCTTTGTACTCCTAAAACCCAAGTGGGGAACTAATCTTTAACAACTGTTCCTGAGTTATTGGTTTGTTAAAATGTTTGCCTGCCTTTTCCAAATACACCTAAGAGCAACTGTTCAGCCTTTGAACAACAACCATCAGAGTTCTGGTGAACTACAAAGGTCACACACACACATTCTCACACACACTCATACAGTGTACTATTAAGTCTGATATGATTTAAATTAAAAATAGCTTCCATTGCAGATGTCCTAGTACACATAGCTGGGTCAGAAATTGTTGTGGGAAATGAAAACATGATGCCACAAATAAAAACCAGCCCAGGTTTTGATTTCCTGTTTGGGGGCATTTTTTTTTTCACGGAAGGTGAGGCCCCACCACTGACCCCCAAAGTAGAAAAGAGGGAAGGACACTCCGTATCTGATGTGCCGGTGGCCGGTGTCTTTGTTTCCATCACCTACTCCCTGAACAGTGACAAAAGTCGCTACAACAGAGGATTGCCACCAACAGAAACTTCTTCCCAGTTCTTCTCCAGAGGGTGTCGAGTGGAGTGACCACGCTCTTGAAAGACGCAGTAAGTAGCCATGAAGTCCCCTGCATCCGGCTGTCCTGACTTTTTTCCTTTCCTTTTCTTTTTTCTTTTTTCTTTTTCTTTTTTTCTTTTTTTGGCAAATTAAAAAGGTGTATGGCTTCTTGTCGCCAGCTCTTGTGAGGTTTAGCTTGGTATCCTACGGTAAAAGTACATATATCCCAGGTCTTTGGGGGGCCGTTCTGAGGCACAAACTTTGTGGTCGTTGTAGATCACCCACCTGAAAACAAAGACAGAAGCACGTGGTGTCAGCAATGCGCACGACGCAGACAGACAGCATTGTACACTGTGGAGCAGAGGCCTCGGCAACTCGGATGCTCCACCGTGGCCATGGCCCAACCACTGCATAAGAGGAATGGGATTTTGCAGAAGAACTCCCCACCCCCCAGATCTCTCCTTCAGACAGGGTTTCTTAAGCATATTTGGAAAGGGCAGGCAAACATTTTAACAAACCTATAACTCAGGAAGAGTTGTTAAAAATTAGTTCCCCACTTGGGCTTTTTCTCCAGGCTGGCCTCTAACTTTGACAGGTAGCCCAGGATGCCCTCAAACCGTGCACCACTCTTGGGTTATGTGGTGCTGGGCTGGGGACTGAGCCCGGGACCTTGTGCCTGCTCCACAACAGTCCACAAACTCAGCCACAGCCCTGCTTTCTGGTTCCTGAATTCAATATAAAACTAGTTACTAAAATGTACTGGAATTCTTCAAATGTTAAAATTCTTTGTGAAAACCCATAAAGAGCCTCAAAAAGCAATCCAAGAATTATATACAGTGATGTATATTTAAGTCTTGGTATAGAACATCCTAAAATCCAGAAATAAACATGTCTCAGTAAAGTATTAAATAACTGTGAACATTTCCTCCAAGAACATTTGATAAAGAAAGAAAATAATCACAATATAGTATGAAGACATAATATGGATGAATAATCACAATTTAATTCGGAAAAGTCACGCAGGTTATATTAGTAATGTATGTATATGTACATGCATATACATATATGTAAACAACAATAATTAATCAATAAGGGGCCAAGAATTTGAAAGGGAGCAAGGAGGGGTATGTGGGAAGATTTGAAGCAAAAAAAAGGAAGGTAGACACTATAATCTCAAAAATTTTTAAAGTAAAAAAAAAAACACAAATTCTAAGAAAACAAAAACAAAAAGGATACAATTCCCTGCACATACTTTAAGGTGGAAGTTCAAGTGCATAAATATGTATATATGTAAGAGTGTGTGTATGTATGTGTGCCCTCCCCCAAAGACACCACCAAAATGTAAAAACAAAGAAAGACATCAACATATAGAAAATGGTCATCCTTAAGCTTACAAAACACATGGTTTTTACATTGTTTTGTTCTGTGCTAATTTGTAATGATTTCTCTACTTAAGCCACTCAATGAGGTCATCATGTATGTAAGTTCCTACGTAAAAAAAACAGATCATCCATTTTCAACATGAGGTGCATTTAGGTTCATCTACACTACAGACCAAAGGTCTCTCTCTCTCTCTCTCTCTCTCTCTCTCTCTCTCTCTCTCTCTCTCTCTCTCTCTCTCTCTCTCTCTCTCTCTCTCCCCTAGTCTGCTGCTGCTTGTCCAAAAATGGTGCAGGTCCTCTGCTATAGAGGGAGCCAAAGATTTGAAAGGCAGTCTCAGCTGTTCACGGGATGAGGCTCTGTATCCCAAGTCAATGGGATGGGGAGTTTGGAGCAAATCCAGGCCAGTAGAAGTTGGCAGTTGGGCAACTTGCAAAACCACTGTCTTGGGTCAAATCAGACCCGCAGCCATTACTGCCTTTTCTCTATGCTGTGTCCCCTTCTACATAACGGTATGTTAAAAACGGCTTCATTTTCACCAGCCTCTTGAATTTGTTTTTATCCTATTTCCAATCACAGATCTGTGTTCTTTGCTTGACTCTACTGATCAAGTTAAGAAGCTAAAATTAAAAGACATGGAAAAAAGAAGGAGGAGGAGGAGGAAAAGTAAAAAGAAAAACAATTGAATCTGTATGGGAACTAACCATCTAGGTCACAGGAGACATGGGTGAAAGGTCAACACCCTACCTGGGTGGGCAAGTGTATGTGTTGTGCCAGTGTCCATGTGATATGAACAAGCTAGAAAGCCCACCGCAGGCTAGAGCAGGGAACTGAAGGAAGGGCACCCAAGGAGCAGGTCTGAGGTTAGACCACCTCATTCCTACCTCATCACAAACCTCCAAGTTTGACTCAAGAAGCTAACATCTAGGTTGCCATGCAACAAAGCACCTAAGGTAGAATACAGGTTACCTGGCTTAATCAGGCAAACAACAAATAACTCAGTAACATAAATATGTTCGTGTAATATTGCAAACAGGCAGTGTTAGAAACACACTTAAATAAAAGTGTTATTTTTAAAACTTAAATTAACCAAGCAGCTGTGTTCTCTTGTAAAAAATCCCCTTATTCTATGGAGGTTCCAAACACAGCCTACCTTATGCTGTACTGCACCTTTATCTGGGAACTTCACCTTGGCGCAATAAAGTGAACATCAGTTCCAGCATACCTGATGACTAGCTAACCTGAGCCTCAGGGGTTGGATTTGTAAAACAGTTAAGCATACAACCTATCAGGCACACAGGTATGCCTGTAATCCCAGCACTCAGGAGGCTGAGGCAAGTGAATATTAGTTCAAGACCACCTGCTCTACATCGTGAATTCCAGGTCAGCCAAGGCTGCACAGCAAGACCCCTGTCTTAAAAAAAAAAAAAAAGTAAAAACCAGAAATAACATAGAAAATACTTGTGAAATGGCTGAACCCAGGAGGAGCTCAATACCACAGCTATCTACTTCCTTTCCAAAAGAAAAAAAAAAAAAAAAGACTCACCGTCCCTCCTTTTTGATATGGCAAACATAATGGCCACACATTGTAGATGTTCCCATGTGACTGATGAAGGCAAATAACTCGTACACTAGGGAAGAGAAAACAGTTCAGTTAGAAGGCAGCAGTCAAAAACCCAATATGCTTCTAAGCAGAACCTGGACTGAACAGGAGAGCTATTGACCCTCTAGACTCACAATTCAAGCCAGTTAACCATGCTACATTGACCATATGTGTGAGAGCACACACACACACACACACACACACACACACACACACTGATATGGAATCTCATCAGGAATAAAGTACGGCAAACAAACACTGCAGATGCAGGGTTAACCCCCACCTCCTGCCTGCCCCACCCTGCATCACCCCTGCAGCAAGCTTTCAGCTCTGAAAGACTTATGAGGGTGAAAAAGTTGCGCCATCTTTTAGGGCCTGTTTCTATCACCGAGTTTGAAGAAAACAGAAAAGAGAGGAAGCGGAGGGGAGGGGAGGAGAAGGGAGGGGGAAATATTCCTATGTGAGTAGGAAGCATAAGTATGGGCTGGCACATCCATTTCTATGGCTCAACTTTTTATTATATTTTTACGGAAATAAGAAGGTTCTGGATCCAGCTTCATCTCACCCTTCTCTTCCCTACTCTCCCACTTGTATTTTACCTGTTGACCAAAATTCCCCTTCCCCAAATACTTGTCCCTGGACATAACCTCTTGGCTGCCCAGATGCCACACTCGTGGTCTCCCATCTGCTGGCACCCCCTCATCTCCTTACCTACCAAAGTAGTGCCTGCAGCTTTGGTATCAGATATTTGGGGTTTTTTTTTTTTTTCCTCAACCCAGACATTCTCTTTCTGGTTAATCCCATCCAGTCTTCTGAAGCAAATGTTATTGCTTTCACAGTTTTGTTTCTAGAAAGCTAATCATTCATATATAGCATAAAACTTTGGGCATGGGGGGAGCATGCCTGTAATCCCAGAACTCAGGAGGCTGAGGCAGGGAGATACAGATTTTGAAATGAAACCCTACCTCAAAAAGAAGAAGAAAGAAAATGAAGCAACAGCTAATCCTGAATTTTGTACCTTGCTTATTTCCAGCAACCTTGCAGTGCATACTTGTCAGTTCTTACGGTTTTCTACAGGTAAGGCCATGTCACCCAGATGCCTTTTATTGGGTTGAAGAATTTCCTTCTATCACCAGTTGGTTGAGTTTCTCCTCAGCCTTACCATCTCAATCGATGGCAAGTTCATTCTTCTACTAACTTACATCAAAAACCTTGGTGTCTCTCTTGTTCCTTGTATCCAACCAAATCATTAGCATCATCTCCTTCCAAACACATCCAGAACCCTGTCACGACACCCTCCCCTACTCATGCTCCTGGTCCATGTCACCATCACCATTCTCAACACTGGTTACAAGTGTCTTAACTGACCTCTGTCCCACCCCTGTCTCTGATGACCTGGGCTATTTATTTATTTATAAACCTCATACCCACATGTAAATTTGGATATAAGCTGGTAAATCAATATTAATAGAAAATTTATTATCAACTGCTATGTTTCATTTGCTATCATATTGACCGGCTGAAATGTAATCCTAGTTTAGAAAGCAGACTAGGAAAATGATGTAGATTAATTCTTTTGAACATTATGAAGATGTGTTCCCCTCATTAGTTTAATAAAGAGCTAACTGGCCAATAGCTAGGCAGGGAGAGGTTAGGCTGGAGAACCAGACTGAGAGAATGCTGGAGGAAGGTAGGGTTACCAGCCAGACACAGAGGAAGCAAGAGATGATCTTGCCATGCTAAAGAAAGGTATTGAGCCATGTGGTAGTACATAGACAAGAACTATGGGTTAATTTAAGATGTAAGAGCTAGTCAATAACAAGCCTAAGCTATCAACCAAGCGTTTAAAATTAATAGTAATTCTTTGCGTGGTTATCTGGGAGCTGACTGGAGGGACAGAATCTTCTACCAACAGACAAAACGGTTGCAATGGTTATACCTGGAATTCAATTTTCAAAAAAAGGATCCAGAGATTTTACATTTGTCTGTCCTTCTCTGATCTTCCCTCCCACCCAAAGAAGCCACTCTGCCTCAGGAGGCAGGAAAGGCTATGGGGGGAACCTTTCCTTAACCAGGTAGTTTTTTAAAGCAAACCTCTTTGGAATAATTTCATATCAAATACCAAATCTTCAGCTGAAGAGACACAATGCTGTTGTCCCCAAGTGCAGTTCATGAAGAGAGAACACAACTCCCCAAGGCTTATTCCACCACAAAACAACTGTTTCCTGAAGAGTAAGTTCTGCAGTTCAATTAGAGCATGAAGAAGCACTCCCCAACCCAAGTCAGGACCACCTCAGTGTCACATTGTTCGTACCCCCACATAGCAGAATGCCCAGCTGAAGAAGACAGACAAACCCACATGTTATCAATAGAGCCACACCATTAACTCCTGTCTTAGATCTCCAATGCTTTGATAAAATACCATGAGCGAAAGTAACTTGGGGTGAGAAGGGTTTAGTCTACCTTACAATTCTCAAGTCACAATCCATCATCAAAAGAAGTCAGGGCAATAACTCAAGGCAGGAACCTAGAGGCAGGAACTGAAGCAGAGGCCATGAAGGGTGCTGCTTACTGGCTTGCTCAATACGGTTTACTCAGCCTGCTTTCTTATTCCACCCAAGGCCACCTGCCCAGAGATAGCAATGCCCACAGTGGGATGGGCCCTCCCACATCAATCAAGAAAATGTACTACGAACTTGCCTACAGGCCAATCCTATAGAGGCATTTTCTCAATTAAGATTTTTTTCTTCCCAAATGACCTTATTATATGTCGGGTTGACATAAGATTAGCCAACACTGTCCCCAGAGGTACTTTCCCCCCTTCAGTTAAGAACTAAATGTATGTGTATACTCAGAATCATAGTAAAATTAAAGTATGTACATACATTCAGAATCTTAAAAATAAAATTTTGAAGTTTAGCATGAATCATGGTCTTATAATTTAAATTAACTGTGTTTATCAATATAAACAACTTCTCCATGCATTATTCAAAAGCTCCTGCTAGGGACTGACAGAAAAAGAGAGAATCTCTTTCAACACATTTGCAGAAGGCAAGTAGGTAAGCAATGCCAATTAATGTTGTTTTCAAAAAAGACTGAAACGAGTAGGGCCAATGGGAAAGCTACTTGGTTCTTCTCTAAGTCCCCTGAAATCCCGTTCCAAACAACAGCCTCGTCATGCACATTCCTCATAAGCAGGGAGAAAAGGCAGCTTGAGGCCAAACTAAATGGCTCAGAAATGCTGACTTTCGACAAAGAAACATTCAAAGTCCCTGGAACAATATGAGGTACCTGACCCAATGCTACGCCCTCCATCCCAAGAGAAGCAGCTAAATGGTCAGCCTCAAATTACATGTGAAACAAGTACTCTCCTCCCCACAAAACCTGCTCTGGTTCAACTTTATGAAAACTATCTCAGCCTTTCAAATAAGGAAGGGTTGTTTGGTTTTTAATATCAGATGATGCCACCACCATCCCCAATCCATGGAACACCAATTGTACTCTATACCACTGTTCTTCGAGAAAGCATCTGTCAGGAAAATTCCACAGAAGTTCAAAGGGAAAAGAGACTGACAGCATTTGAATGTCATTGGCGTAAAGGCCACCCTGAGATCACCCACAAGATAGAGATTCCATGAGTCGAAGCCCACCCTGCAGCTGCTTTATCCTGGTGAGATGGGGGAGTAAGAGATGAGAGGAATATGGCACAGCTGTGAACATGACTGCCAAAATGATTACCATGGGTAAAGGCTGCACTTTAACAACTCAGAATTACCCACAGTGATGACATTCAGGTGAGTCTGTATCCCCACGTCTAAAGGGTCAACTTGGCTTGTCCCACCACTTACTGCTAAAGTCCCAAACTTAGGAAGTTACAGTTTCTGTCCCATGGGACACATAAGCTCATGGGTGCACAGTTTGAACACATCAGCTTTTGCCCTAACTCAGACAAGCTCACCCTAACCTTGCTTTGTTAACTCTCCCTCCAGTAGCCCAGCATCTTGGGCTACAGCTGGGACTCGGAAATAGAGCTCTCGCCTGGTGTGTGCAAGACCCTGGTTCTGTTCTGAACACTACAAAATAGGAAACAAAAACAACTATCCTAGTTATTCTGATGTACCCTACAGTGGGAACGTCTGACTGGTCCTCCCATCAAACAGCTAATCTGCGAGTTATGTCATTTTGTATATGAGAGCCTTGACTGCCTTCTAGGAAATACACTGTAACTACATGTCGTTACCCCAATTAACTCCAGCGTTCGAGTTCCTTGACATGAACCTACCGTCATAATCAATTACTATGCAAACAAGTACCAGTGTCTCCTACAGGCACAAACCCAGTCTGCACTGAAAAGAAGAAGAAGCTGGTAGATCATTTGGAGGCTGTGAAGCTCCGTGGTTCACTCCCATTAGCTGCACTGTGAGGAATACATCTGGCATTTGCGTCCCAATGCTAACAGAGGATCTGTCGCTTTTCAGAAACTAGGAAGCCTAACTGCCTCAATCCAGTTGACACTATCTGTAGCCTCTGAGACAGAGAGTGGTGTGATACTATGACAATCCTGAACGTAACACCGGAGCCTTAGCTCTTAGCCTGTTACCCACTGAGAGTGCTTACTACCCCAGCAGTCTTAACCATGAAACCCAGGAGCAGAAAAGCCAGGAGCCTCTGCCATACTGTCTCCAATAACAAGCCAGCTGAGCAAATGAGATTGCTGTGGATCCCCCAAAAGACAGAAAGTAAACTCACCTCAGGGTCTTAGTCTGCCGCTCACAGGACCTCTGTGTTTTCCACACCTGCCCATATGTTCTCCTAAAGCTTCAGAACCTGTGATTGCCACAGGGCTGGCCAGTCTGCCACACAACCAGAGGATCTGTGTAGGGTGGTTAACAGTGGTGGAAGGATTTGGCCATTGCTATGGTGAGTCGCTTGCCCATTCCTCAAGGCAGAACTAGAGAAAAGTTCCTGGAATTCCCAGCCAAAGAAGGCCCTGAACAAGTCTTCTTTTAACCTCCACCTTGGCAAGAG